CTTAACTCATAACTTGCAGGGGAATATTTCAGAAGCTTTTAGTGCAATTCAGGAAGCCACAAGAGGAAGATATGAGGATTACAGAACATGGGAAAACTACCTGCATCTTGCCTTGCAATTTGGTAAAGATCCTTTGCAGGTTTTGTTGGCCATTGGTCGGTTGAATGAAATAAGAGCAGGATCTGTTAATTGGAACATATTTGACATGGTCTGGAACACATTAAGGCCTATCTCTTGCGATGAAACGGGAAAATGTTGCCTGAAATTCATGACCTGGATTGAAGAAGCAGAACCCGACTTTGGAAACGAAGCTAGCTATTGGAGGAGACGGGCTTTGATGATATCTAGGCTGTCATCTTTAGCTTCTGAAGCAGAATACCATCTTAAGGCTTCTGAATGGGAATGTTGGCTCAAGGCATACCAAATAAGTTCATCATCCACAACATACTCGGTGCTTCCACAAGTAGAGGCAATTGTGGCTTTGTTACAAGACATGTCCAACTGTGCAGAATTAAATATACCCCAGTTTTCATCTATCTTGCGAACAGCATCTTCAAGAATTAAGAAACTCTACTCGCCACATGATGCTTGCGTAGTGCAAATTTTAGCAGATCTTGAAAAAATTGCTCTTACACTTGACATTGCTCTGTGAATTTGGCGTTAATTTATGCTTCCTTTAATTGGAATAAATTGAACCTGGTGTCTTTTTAAAATTTTTGGTCAATTTTAATTTGCTTAGAAAGCCACAAATTGAAATCCATTCTGGTTTGATTGATACAAACAATGGCCTATGCACTTGCATTTGCGCTCCTACTTATATAGTTTGACGTTTGAGGGATTTCTGTATATGATTTCTAAGATTATTCTTTTGCTTGGGCTTATTTTTTTCATCTCCAGCTCCATCTTTGTGAGGGGTCGTCCTTGTGAGCCAAAATCAGCTTATAAGAAGGTGTTTGAAGGTTGTGAGAAGCCCTGCGGCGATATAGATATTGTGCTCAAGTTCGTTAAAAAGTAATTGATATTATAATTCTAATAGTCTAGTAATTGCAATGAAAAAAAAGACGTCAATAAAAAGAAAGGGCAGAAATTTGACACAGTTGAAGAATATTTAGACAAGTTTAATTCCCACGGTAGCAGCACTCAAGGCAGCACAAATCATGATCTATCAGGAAATCCCATTGGCTCTGGAACATGCCCATGTATGGGTTCTGACATCCCGATATGTGGAAAAAATGAGTCGAAAACTGTATGTCTTGGGATTGGCCCTGATGGCGAAATCCAGCTTCCCAAGCCCTATGAGGAGAGTCGACGGCCCATATGATATTAAATATAGAAAGCAGTAAATTTTTTAACAGCAAAAATTAAAGTGGTGGCCGTTGTAAGCATAAAGTGCACAAGCGACGGCATGGCGGCTGGTCGGGTTCAGTAGATCAAAGCCATTTTAAAAATCAACCCTGATGCAAATTTAATGGCGCAAAGATAAATTGGCAAAATTGGCATAAAGTGTATTTTTATTGGATTAAAAAAGATTTAGCATCGATGCTGATTAGATAGGTTTCTCGCGAATGAAAAGCTTGCATCAATGCAATTGGGGAGGCTCTTTTCCAATAATTAAAAATCCGAGTTGTTATTAAAGCTCTGGTCATGCGATTCTGGTCAATACCTTTATTTAGATGAAAGTCCAGGTTTTTGGAATCCTTTGCCTTTCCTTGGTGCTTTTCCATATTCTGTTACTGATAGAAGCAAGATGCCCTTCTAGGAAACCGATCGAGTCAAATTATTGTGATGAAAAAAAAGTTCCCCAAAATATCAATATCGATTTCTCATCAGCAAAATCAATTGGAAATTGCGGAAAAGAGCCCCCAAAGAAAAAACGCAAAGAACCTTGTTTTAATCCCGACAACCCTGGAGGCGTAGATGTTGGCAGGATTGCTTGTCTAACACTTGACAAAAAGACGGGAAATTTGATAAATCGCGAAACTGGTGACACATATGCTTTAGACCTAAAAAAACCCGGTGATTCTACGCCCCAGAAATTTTGTAATCCATTTGAAGAACCAAAGAATGAATTTTTAAGCAATTTGGTCCCCAAGATTGACCCAAAAGCCGGTCCAGAAGGTTTGAAAAAAGAATTGTGCGACGGAAATTGTGCTTCTGAAAGCGATGATCCTGAATCTGTTATATTTGAATCCAATGGTGAGAAGTATGTTGTTCCTGGTAGTGCAGTTGTCCAAAGCGAAAATCTTGAAAAGGTGCTCAAAATTGTCGGATGCAAAAATAGAGAGCCCCCAAGGCACAGCTCTAACTGCCCTTTTTATGATAGTGAGACAAACGGCAAGTCAAAAGATGACCAAACCGGACAGCCCAACCAAACCATGCAGCCCGGCGAATCTGGCTTGACGAAAATCCCAGAAACTCAGAAATCATCGAGTGGATTGAGTCCAGAAACGTTAAATTGTCCTCCTAACTCCCTGAGTCGGGTACCTGTGGGGGCAACTATGAATGGTGTACCTGTGGGGCCACCTATGAATGGTGTACCTGTGGGGCCGTGTGCGAATCCGCAAAATACGGGGCCATATGCGAATCCGCAAAATACGGGGTCGTGTGCGAATCAGCAAAAAGGGTGACAAGCTCATTTATTAAATGAGTTGGATAAGAGATTTATTGTGGAAACCAATTTTATTTCATGATTAAAAAATAAAGAATAAATTATCAAATTTACCGGAGTTTACTAGTTATGGCAACCATTAATTTTTTTAATGGACACTGCAAATTCCACCAATTGTGACCTGCTCGTTACCACTGCGGAGTGTACTGATAACGCGACCAACAGATCAGTACGAATAGTAAATATACTAGAAAAAGGGTCTATTCCAGAGCCATGCAAAGATGATAGGAAGCATGTTAAGAAGAAGCGTCTTCCAATCGGAGAGATTGCCACAGATCCTTTATCATATCTTGGACCGTGGTCAGGCTTTCAAGGCGAAAATATTGGCCCTTCAAAGGCAACTCCACAAGAAATCGCCGAACACGCAGAAAAAGTGGCCAAAATCTCAATGCAAACCAGCATTCGGCCTCTCAGCGGTGTTACTGGGAGAGACATCGATTTTGATGAAGATCCAGCAGCATCTTCTATCATTGACAGGCTTTCTACCTATATCACAATGGGCAAGGAGTATTCGCAGTTTCATGGTGGCTTATCTCAAAAGGATTACCTTGGAAGAACTTATATGAATGCTCCCATCTCCCTTCCAGATTCATCTCCCCAAACTTGTTTCCTTCCAAAACGGTGTATTCATACATGGGAAGGGCATCAAAAAGCTGTCTCCTCCATTAGGCTACTTCCGGGGACCGGACATCTTTTGTTGAGCTGTTCATTTGATTCCAAAATCAAGGTAAACGGCTATCGTTCATTTATTGCTAGCTTTGGGAGGCGTATGGGGATAGGAAAATTCTACGGACATTTTATGGCCACAACAAGGCTGTGAAAGATGTTGCGTTCAGTGGTTCAAATGGTGGCCAGAGGTTCGCATCGTGCTCGTATGACAAAACTCTGAAAATCTGGGATACTGAATCTGGGAGCTGCGAGTCTGCTTTTTCACTCAAGGGTTATCCCTATTGTGTCACTTGGCATCCTTCTGATCCAAATATCGTGCTAGCAGGCCTTTCTAATAGGAAAATATATACATGGGATATCAGAAATAGCATTGGAGATCCAATCCAAGAATATACCGGTCACCTGGAGGCTGTTAATAGCATTTGCTTTTTGTCGAGGAAAAGATTCGTGTCCACTGCAGATGACAAAAGTATTCGCATTTGGGACTATGCTGCCTCTTCAACGGCAACCAAAATCATATCCGAGCCAACCATGCATGCAATGCCTTGCGTCAAGCTCCATCCTTCAAGGTCTGCGTTTGCTATCCAAAGCATGGACAATCAAATTCGCACGTGGACTGCAGGTCGTTCGGCACTGTTGAACCCGGAGGACGATGATGGCGAAGCTGTTGAAGAAAAAATGATCCTCCCTGATGGAAGCACACACAAGGATAAATATCGGGCATTGAGCAAAAGCTTTTCGGGCCATGTGATAGCCGGGAATTCATGTCAAATATCATTCTCGCCAGATGGCCAATATTTGATGAGCGGCGATTCAGATGGAAAGCTCTTTTTCTGGAACTGGAAATCAGGAAAAATAGCGAAACAGCTGAAATGCCACGATCAAGTCCTGATCGCTGCAGAGTGGCTTCCAAAAGAGCCATCAAAGGTTGTCACTTGTTCTTGGGACGGGAAAATCAAGCTCTGGGATTAACCCTAACCCCAGTCTTCTGAAATAAGATAACCCCTAAAATTTTCAAGGGTAGTTTCCCACGCAAACCCTAGTCTTTAATTGAATAAAAATGCAAATCAATTAGCACTTGGAATCAGTATCAATGAAGCAGGGCATACTGATCTTGGGGCTTGTTGTCATCACCACAGGCGTTGTTCGCTGCTTTTTTAACGGCTTTCCTTTTGGCGATATTTTTGAAAATTCCCATCACCAAAGTGATGACGAGTCATATTATGAGCTATTTGGCATGACCAAGGCTACTTTTGACGAAAATGCCCTAAAAAAGTCCTATAGAACGCTTCTGAAAAAGTACCATCCAGATCACAATAGCGATTCTGATGCAAGCGAGCGTTTTGGAGAGATTACAAATGCCTACGATGTCCTTTCTGACCCAGAGAAAAAGCGTCTCTATGATGCGTACGGAAAAGATGGCGTTAAAATGRGCGGCGCAAACGGAAACGGCGGCAGCAATGCACATTCATCTGGATTCCCATTTGACATGTATCATTTTGACCTTCATTAACATTTAAGGTTTTTCAATACTGGATCATCGGGACACAGCCATCGGGACACACCAAAGTCCCACACTGTGCTGGTCGAAATCACCCTCAGTTTGGAGGAAATCTTTTCTGGATCCGATAAGCTTTTGCAATTTTCCAGACATTCTTTATGCAAGCAATGTAGTGGAAGCGGTGCCCATTCACCCTCAGACGTTGTCCAATGCCCAAAATGCCAGGGTTCTGGAATTCAAATAGTAACGCAAGTGATTGGGCCTTTTATCCAAAGATTTCAATCCCATTGTGAAGAGTGTAAAGGGGCCGGGAAAAAAATCGAAAAGCCATGCGCATATTGTAAAGGGTCAAAGGTATTTCTTGATGACTCCCCACTTCATGTGCATATACCGGCTGGTGTTTTGGATGGTGCCAATATTGTCCTTGAAGGAGTCGGAGATGCGGGCGCAGATGGGCGCTTTATCCCAGGAGATATCCATTGCAGAATAAAAGAAGCCCCACATCCGATTTTCCGAAGAGGAAAAAAGGATCCATCAACGCTCTCTATGGATTTATCCATATCTTTAAGGGATTCTTTATTAGGATGGTCGACCACGGTCATCGATGTCTCTGGAAACCTTTTGAAAATTTCACGAGAAAAAACTCTAACGCCACCAGGCTTTGTTGTTGAAGTCCCCAATGGCGGCTTACTTAAATCTTCAGGAATTATGGCCAAAAGAGGGTCATTATTTGTTTCCGTTTCTGTTATCTATCCAAAGGAACTTTCGTCTACCGAGTCATCCATAATAAGGGACAAGAACCTATTTCACGACATATCAAAGCCTGAGCCAATACCCGTCAAAAGTCGAGCCATGTATCCGATCCATGACGATTTGTGAACAATAAAACGGTTCCTTTACAGAATCGAATTGCAGTCAAGATAGTCGTATTTAGCTTTTTTTTTCGTAGCATCAAAGTCTATCCTGTGAAGGAATGTTTGGGGATTTGGTTCGTTTTCACCTAAATTAAGAGACAATGTGCTTGGATCGGTAGAGAGAACCACTGAAAAATCGCTGTTTGCAGTTTCGAAATAACTCATCAAGTTGCTTATAATAGAGCCAACCGTATGGGGTAAAAGCAATCCAGAAATAACGACCTTATAAGTAGACCTTTCCACAACATCTCCAGTTTCCGGGTCTCTTAATATCGTTTTTATTGGTCTCTCAATGGTACTCCGCGGGATGAATATGGTCCCGCCTATGAAAGGTTTCGGTGAAATCAAAATTGGATTTACAACTTTGAGAAATAATGACCTAACATGAGGGTAAGATATCCTACAGGGGGCGTGATGTATCTTGCTTGTAAAATATCAAGTTTCTA